TGAACTAGTCTTGTTCAGATAAGCCTGTCTATCTCTTACAAAAACAACAGTTTATAGTTTAAACTGTGAAACTCTGTGTGTGTGTGTGTGTGTGTGTTGTAATTATGGTGCCTGCTAACAATTTCATACTGCCACATTGCACATATGGCTTCCAAGCTAGCTTTATCTGAATCTTTGTGAATCTATTCTCCGTGCTATTAAACTGAGCACATTCCACATCGTTCAAAAGTAATTACACTTTTGTCTAGAGTGTAGGAGACTGCTCTCCCCAAACAATGAAATTCTCATTATTAGAGCTGGCACAATAACAGCTCTGGTGTTCACAACACTGTGCATTGTACCATCACAATAACTTATCCTAAGCTTGATGCACAAAGGTACACTGGAAATCAAAATTTTTCTAAAACCACCATGGGTTTTTTTTTTTCTAATAGGCATTCTTTAGCTCAGTATAATTAGAGTCCTATTTGACTTTTTAAAAAGCTATATGCATTCAGATTTCCATTCTCTTCGCAACTTCTGAATAGTAGCTAAGCACTCTAGCCGCATGTTGTTCTGATCCAGTACTATTCACATGCTGACGACCTCAGACCAACAGGTGAAGTGCAGGCCAGCATGTACGTGGTAAGACAATTCAAATGCAGCATTAAACAACCTTTTATTTTGGATAAGTGGAGGAAAAGAATGAAGAAATGCGTCGGTAAGCTCTTTGACCAGTAGTACTGTTACTCTTAATATGACCAAAACTTCTTAATATTATTCCCAAGTTACAGGGGAATTACTTCTTTCACCACAGAAATGCAACAATTTTTAGTGTGAAGCAATAAAGCTATTTAACAGTGGACTGTCATATTTCCTATCAATTTAAAGTACAGATGAATTCTAAATCCCACTGAAAGTGCAGGACAAACGTGGGTTAGCAGTGCAGTCACGCTTTTTGGAACAACTGGACAGTAGCAAAATTACACCTTACCGGTTTGACCTTTTGGTCAGAACTGTTTTTTTTTTAAAAATCTCATCCAGAATTTGATCGATATTCTACAATTAAGAAGAATGGTCAAATTTGACCCCAGTGTACAATGCCCGTGGTATACTTTAATAGGTGCTTTTAGCTTTGACATCTCTTATTTTCAGAAATTAGCACACAAACATCGTTGGTAAGATCAGTAGTCTTGAGAGGTAGCAAAAGCAACATGGCAAGGCAGACAAATAGAAATAAATAAAATAAACCTTCGTAACTTATATAAGCTAATAACTATCTCTGCTATCCAAATACTGTAGCGTTAACAGGTTTCTTCAAAAGGCATAATGACTGGTAGGGTAATCCTCGAGTGTTTCCCTGCTAAGCTTATGGCCTGCTATGAACGTCCTAAGGGGACTCTTGGAAATATTCTAAGTCAAATGATTTGCCTTGTATTTTCTACTGAGCCTTTGGTTTAAGTGTGATAAATTACTGTTTCTTTTCTTGCCAGTGGAACAGCTTTCCTGCTTACAGTAAGTATCTGGTTTCTTCTATCAAGAGGAAGAGAGTTTGGGCGAGAGTTGCCCCTGCCTTTCAGAGAGCCACAGAATGGTTGAGGTTGGAAGGAACCTCTGGAGGTCATCTGGTCCAACCCCCCTGCTCAAGCAGGGCCACCTAGAGTTAGTTGCCCAGGACTGTGTCCAGATGGCTTCTGAGTATCTCCAAGGAAGGAGACTCCACAACCTCCCTGGGCAACCTGTTCCCATCCTCAGTCACCCTCACAGTAAAAAGTGTTTCCTGATGTTCAGATGGAGCCTCCTGAGTTTCAGTTTGTGCCCACTGCACTAACCTTTCTCTGGCTGCAGTTCCAGCATCTTCAGAAATACCCTGTTCATTTTGATAGGAAAATGGGTTTTGCAGCTTTTGCCAATTTTGGTTAGGCTTGAAGATTTCTTTCTAAGGTTTTTGCCCTCCTTTTATAGAAAGTTACCCAAATTCAGAGCTGTGTCTCTTAAGCTGGCAGTTGTTACAACTTGGTAAAATGCAACAGGGTAAATTTTCAAAAGTCTAAGTTGGGTAAACTGTTGAGTTATCATTCTGGAGCAAACAGCCCTTTACCTTAAGGATCCTAGGATGTCCCAGCTGGCAGGACTTGTAAAAGTCAGCACAGCTGGAAGTAACCTATGAAACAGCGGGTCAATTAGCAGCTAGAAAAGTGAGGCCAAGAAATTGATTCTCAAGGTTGAATTTGTTTTCTAACTATCCCTTCATGACCCAGTGCCGAGAGGCAGAATATGAGGAGGCAGGGATGGCTGTGGTGACAAGAGGAATGCAGCTACGTAGCCTACTGATGAGACAAAGCTGTATAATTTCATACCTTTTCCAGTTCCCTTAGCTGTGGCTTGCTTCTGCTGGGATCGTTCCTAAGGCAAATGGGTGCTGTACACGTAGCTAACAGAGAAAGACCCCTGTGGATCTATACCATGCCTAAGAATCCCTTCGGAGAAGAGTCTTAACCAACAGTCACACACAAAGCAGTATGGCTTCGAGGGCTGCAGCAGAGCGATGCGCTACATGACTTCAGACTGGCTGTGTGTCTGATCCTGTCTCACTGGATGTTGGAGAGATCTGTAAAGGTGTACCCTGCGAAGGACACTATGTGGCTGCAAAACGAGAACTCCATAGTCACTTGCAGACTCAGTCAGTAGGTGTAGTAGTTCAGCTGACAAGCTATTAAGAAGTGTGAAGCACACTGCTGGAGCTTTATCAATAAAACTGTATTGGGCCGCGCTCTGCGGTGGCGTGCGCACACGTGCACGCACCTGGGTTTGCTTCCCAGAGACAACAAAATAGCACAGAATGTCAATTCAAACAGTGCAAAAATGACGTCTGTAATGCTACCGAAGTGAATACCCTTTGGGAATGACTTTCATAACTGCTAATCACCCAAATTGAAGTCATCTAAAAGTTATCCAAGCACGAGGTTCAGTTACTTCCTTCTTGTAACTACATACCACAAAGGCAGAGGGAGTGATTATGCCTATTTTACTCATTTACACTGATCACTTCCTTCTTTCTGGAGATACATAGGCTACATCCTTTCTGACCTACCTGGACGATGATTTTTACAGGACACTCCTAACTAAAAGAGAGATATTACCAAAATGTCACTTTCATATAAACTGTCAATTTTCTTAAATATATATATGAAGACAAAACCAATCCCCGTAACCCCCCTAAACATGTTTCAGATAAGGCTACAGCGTCTCACTACTGCAGCAAAACTTTCTATAACATGCAATAATTCAGTATCTTGTCTTACAAAGAGCCAGAACACACTGTTTTGACATCACATTAAATATAGCCTTCACAGCAGGAAGTCATACTAGATCATCAGGTAAACTTCTTGGTCTTAAAAACTATAAATGAGTAAAGAAGTTAGTTAAAACCAGTTAAAGAGCAGTTAAGTGTTCCAGTGAGGTGTAGTTAAAATACCCCTGGCTCGGCTCCTCAAGAGACAATTGGGTTTTTATTTCTTTAGGGTCTGATTCTACACTACTGGTTTCACCACAAGTTTATCTGTTGACTTAAATGTTGTCAGGAACATTAAAATAGGCTAAAATACAGCAAAGCTCATACATCAGTTATATACCCTAACATCCCACTGGCTGAAACTGTATATTAATGAATTACATCTCCATAAAACATATGATAAAGGGTAAGAAGTAAACAAACTAGAAAAAGATAACGACATGTCTGCCCATGAGTAATTTTTCCAATGACATTTTTTCTTCATTTAAAGTTGCAGTAACACAAAATAAAATTAAATATTCCAAACCACTGCTTGAACTTAAGCATTAGACCAAAAAGGAAGAAAAATGAATTAGGATCAGTGAGTTATTTTGTCTAGGAGAGAAGCTTCAGTGAATATCCAGTGACTTGGTCCTAGGAGAAATAATAATCCCTAAGGCTTTTTACTTAGGGCTTGTTAACTTATGCGTAATGAGCTGTAAGGGTTTAAATACCACTATGGAGCTGTTGCAGGCTTTTATGAGGATACACTATCACCTATTTTGCGATGCCTTTTTAAAAGCCTTCAAATACGCAGGTCCATTCATTATCTTCACTTAAAGTGAAACTGTCAGTGCCCTTGTCAAAGTGGGGGACTAACAGAAAAGTTACAGTCAATTTGTAAACAGGCAAGAGCTGCGTAACTGTGTTCACAATAGACGGCTTTGCCGACATGCCCAAGTCCTGGGCTTTCAATGCCTTTCCCTGCACCCTTCAACCTTTATAAAAATTTATCACAGTACTCTGCACGAAGCGCCCAAAACACGTCACGTTACAACAGTGATGCTACGATACTACCGAGGAACATGGCATTGCTTTTTGTTCTTTTTGTTTGCCTGCTTTTAGATAAAGCCAGTTCTGGACTTCCAGTGGGATGCCAAATGTAATAAATTAAGTGCACGGTGTCATTTGTAAAGTGCACAAAAAGGTGGGAATTCACGAGTGAAGAAGCGGTAGGCTAATTTAATTCCGGAAGCACAGCAAGTTTTCTTCTAGGTATCTGTGGCGTGTGAAATACACATCAGATGTGAATTTTTAAAACCAGCAAAATCCAAAGTTGCCTTTTTTACCCTTTATACAGACCTTACTATTGCATAAACTTGGCATTGGGGCGATATTTCAGACACCATGCCAAACATGACTCTCACTTACAGTGTTCCAAACCCATTTACTGTTTGCTGAACACATACACTTCAAATCCACATCACTGTAGCTAAAAAATTTTAGCACCCTAAATGCCAGCAGGCAAAGGTGAGGAAAAGCGGAGTCTGCACTGCAAGCGATTTAGCATTTGTAGCGGAGGGTAAAGGCAGTCCAGCTAGGTCAAAGCTTTCACATTATTGTAGCATGTTCTGTACGTGTAACTGTGCATTGTCTACTCCATAAAGTACAGATCTGGATGCCAAACTACTGTAGAGGCAGAATTCAAAGAATGGATGTAAGCACAATAGACCATTAGCAAACCTACCATTGTGTTGTGCTGAGAAGTGGGAGTCCTATGGCCACAGTTCTCTTGCGTCAGCAGAGAAACTGGCTGAAATTCCTCAGAGTGAGGCTTGTTGGGAAAACTCACATGCAAGGGAAGGTGAAAGGCTGGGAGCCCGTCACTCTCCTCTTCTCCCACTTTCTGTCTGCTTGTCACCATGGCTACCTCTCCATCTGCTTCCCCATACGGAGAGGCTGGTCGCTTGGAAGACATCCTGGAAGGAACAAAAGAGGAGAAAATAATGAAACCTCCAAATAAATCCTTAATGCCGTCATTGTGTGGTTAGGGGCCATTGTAACAGAAATGCCTTTTTTGTGCTGGCAGAGAGCAGGAAACCATCCAAATACCACCGCAATGCATACACAATTGGGAACAATGGCCAAGCAGGTAGCAACAGAACAGTGGCTTGTTTGTTGTGAGAATAATACACTAATATAGCACTCTCTTGCATTCTGGCTTCTTAAACATGAAAATTCACCTAAGAAGACTGTATAATGAAATGCAATTCCTTTAAAAGAACACCCATCTGGTTTTGCATTTGCGAGAGACCGTAAGAAGACAGAATGTCTCCCGACGCAAGCTATTGTCAACTTTGCTTTTAAGGAACAATCATCCGCATGTATTTAACCAAAACTGATATAAAAATAAAGTAAAATAAAATAAAGTAACTTGCTAGCAAGCCAAAAGGTCTGTGTTTATAAAACTTCACACATGTGCACAACAGAGTGTTACTGTCATGTCGCGAGGATCTTTTCAGGTTCGCAGATCTGGGATGGTTAAGCAATTAAACATTTGGACATTGATAATCTAAGCTTTCTGACAACACAAATTCAGGGTTGTACTAAGTGAATGAAGATTTGCTGTTAAGGTACGCTACCTATACTTCCTACCTATAGCCAGATCAAGGTAAGACACGTGAAAATGTAAATTCAAACTATAGCTACATAAAAAAAGCATACACGAGGAAGAACACACATTGTAAAAATCACAGACAAATCCTGACTTAAAATTCAGGCCCACATTCCAAATTTTTGGAGACTCTCTGATAATGTGTGTGTATCTTCAACTTTTAGAAAGACTGAAAGAATCTTTATCTCATTGGAAAACCCAGTTTTCATCCAAGCCAGGCACTACTGAAAATCTTACAGGATAATCTGAACCCAAAAAGCTTCTGGCTTGGTCTTCAAAATAGAGGGGTCCAGTGAGGTATTAAAATGCAGACGACTTCTGGGATTAATTAAAGCAACATTGTTCATGAAAATCAGGGTATGTGCATGGGTGGCATAATGGGTCACTGTGCTAAGCAGGGGCATCTGTAATAAGGAGTGGAATGAGAAGTCAGAAATCCTGTAGACATAGTCAAAAGAAGAAAAGAAAGAAAAAAAAATAAAGAAATATTTCATGGAAAACAGGAAGTTATGAACAAGGAAACTGAAGACTATTGTATGTAAAAGTTGAAAAGACAGGCTAAAGTAATACTGCTCCCTCCTCAAAAATCTAGTATTTATGATTCTAATTACCACATTTTGATTTTCCACTTCACAGTTAAAGCACTGCATTTCAAAAGCCCAGCAGCCTCTTGAACCATGTGTGGGGCTGCTGTGAGGTGGAGCATGTCCATACGATTTGGCATATTGAGCACGAAATGGTTCTTAGCAGCAGTCAACTGGGTCTGAAAACAAACAGTGACTTTAAACAGCCCTTTGTTAGAACTTACTTTGTTTCTAATGATCTCATTTTGAGCTCTGCCTCCTGAGCCAAGTTAGATTTTATTAAAAAAAAAAAAAAATCGACAAAAAAACCCTCAGACAAAAACACCCCTACCAGAACCTATACTCAGCTGCACATCGCCTGTTCTGATCACCACCTATTGCTTGTACATAGAGAAGCAATCTGTATTTTCTATTAATGTTTGACTTAGTCCAACAGACTAACACTTCGTACATCCTACCTGAATTCTGTCTTCTAGGCTTTCCCACCTACGTGTCTGCAGCGAAGCATATGTATAAAGACAGAGATCACCAGATAGACTCTTACTGGCAGTTTTCTACTAGCCCACTGAATTCAGCATTTTACAGCTATGTTTGACGCGACAGATCTCAAGCTTTTCTTCTGCAGAAACCATGCAACTCCCTCCTGAAATTAATGTGAATTATTCATATTCTGCATTGCACCGCACCAAGATACAATTTGCTATTGATTCCAAGTGTAATATTTTGGTTACCCATTTCAATACTGCCTTAATAGGAGCTTGGGTTTTACAAAATTTCTCTTTCTGAAAATCAGCACTAAGCAGTTGTCTCAGTTTTTGTATACAAAAGGGAGGGACACAAAATCATTAGTCAATTATTTCATAGTAATGTGCTATACTTGAGGACATTTATATTCAATAAGATGACTGAAAATATTGTAAACCATCTACAAAACTCTCCACAACAATTCACTTTGACAATACAATAGAGAGAGAGGATGCCTCCCTTTGTATCGATGACTTGTGTTACATACAATATACTCAAATTGTGTTAAAAACTCCTACTGCTGTTAACCCAGAATAACCCAGATTCTGTCACATTGCTTCACAAGGAGAGTTTGACTATCATGTTGAAGTAAAGCTCTTCTGCTAACTTTATCAGTGAATATACGGTTTCCTCTACTGCGTTCAGCTGGCATGCTGCAGATCATCATCGCCTTCTGCTTGTCACTGTTCCCAACAGGGATGATTTTTTCTGAGGGGAATTTATAAAAACACGCACAGCGAGGCAATAGAGGTGACCACCTCCATGCACTAGCAATAACAGAGATGATTATGTTTTTGATCTAAACCAAAAACCTATGGGTTGGACTGCAGGCTAACCCTACAGTGACGCTAGAGAAGGAAGAAGAAACTTTTTCCTTCCTCATGCAGCTCTCATCCAGTTTAAATTACAAGCCACGTGCTCATCAGAAATTGCTAAAATAGCTAAGGTGGCGAAGTTACAGATCTAATCTGCACTGGCCTTCCAAGTTACTAGGACACTCAAAGAAACAGTTGCACAACCCTAGGTAAGGGTCACGCACCTCAGACGACGACTGTGATTTGTTTTCAGGTAGGTCTCTCCATAGCCAACATGAGTTAGGCATAATCTGGCCTCTCAGAAATCTCATCCCTTTAACATCAAACACCAACATGACAGTTTCACAGAAATTACTTACTCCTTATGAGCTTCTGGGAAATTTCCACAAAGATTTAAACAAAAAAACCCCAAACAAAAAAACCCTTGTGGAAATGACTTCCAAAAGGACAGTGTCTATCAAAGCCTGTAGCAGCAAAGGATCAATCACCGGTAGGCTCACAAGCAGAAAACAACATGATAGAAGGTAAAACCATTCACAGATGGTCTTTCATTATTTCTACAGCTTTATCGGTCCCTTTTCTGGATTTGAAATGCTCCCACACCCCTTATCCTTGAAGTCTCCTCTTTTCATATATCTTCATTTTCCTACTGAGATCATACTAGGTCGTAACAGGTTCCATATAAGAGATGCAAGTAGAGTTCCCATTATGAACAATAACCAAAGGGAAACAGCTAAATTCTGAGTAACAACGTTACCTGAAACTGAGCTCTTTTAAACAGACCTAGGTCTCATGACAGACTGGAATTATCCCGTCTTAACAAAGGACTCACAAACATCCTGGATCTACCCTCAGTGATAGCATGACAGTTTACAACTTACATGACTTGAAGATCTTTTTCTCAAACTAGTTTAAGCTCAGAAGGGTTTTCAGTTACACCCCTCTGAAAGACGGTTTACAGTGAGAGGAAAGATCAGTTTCCTCAAACATCAACTTATGGATAGGATTAAAAAAACCCCAACAAACCCCCAAGATATAACTCTCAGAAAAGTAGCAATAGGGTGGACCAGAATCTGAATCTGAAGGGGCGTCTCTGCCGACGAAATCTATTGCAACTTAAGACTTGCAAGAGGAGTTGCATTTTGAACTGTCATTAATCATTTCTATGGAATTATAGATAGCTAAAGAGTAGTTTTTTAGACAACCTAAATACGCAAAGTTCAAACACAGTGGGACACAGGCAGTACTTCCACTGCAGAGACACATTGGAGTTATGAAACGTATCCCCATACTTGATTTTTTATCAGTGGTTAGGATGGAACTGAAGATTTAGTTCTGGTGATGAATTCAGATAAGACTACTTCTTGTAAAGGGACTCTCTTTTCTGGTTTTGGAAAGGCTTCTTAATATGCAGAAATTGCAGTAAAAAAAAAACATGCCTTTTGTTAAATTTCCATTAAATAAATGCTTTTTTCTGGTAGCAAGAATGTTTTTTTTTTCAGGGAAGTAAAATTTCACTTTTCTAACTCGCTCTTATCCCACAAATATTTGATGCAATTCATCTTACAATAGCCTCTCCACGTATTTCTTTACTCCCCTTCAATTTACAACAGACTCTTTGTAGGCTTAAACTGATACCCTGTGTCTATTGATCTCAGTGTTTTTGGACTGACTTCAGCATGGCTGCATTTTCCCACTGGAGAGAGCAAGAGCCACACTGCATCCACATGAATTGTTTCCTCATGCCATCTACGAGTATTGTTTCCAACCAAATAATTTCAGGCTACCAAATAACATTGTTGTTTTTTTTTTTTTTCTTTGAGCTTAGTGCATCACAAAAGTGATCTTTCCACAGCTGTATTTTTTAAATTATCTTTGTTTTTAACAGAACCTCATTTCAGTGTCCCCACTGCATTTCCATTTGTTCATTGGTTTTGGTTCATTTCATACATGATTGTGTACCCCAAATAAATCTAAAATAGTATCTAGTATTCAAGGAGATAGTACCCTCTAGCACACAACCAACATCCACCCCAATTCCATTGCTCATGCCATAAAATTTCACAAATTTTATATCATAAAACTCTAATCTTGCTACACTAAGCAAAATACCTCAGAAACATTTCAGATACCCACAAAAGCTTTTGGAGAAATGGCTTATCCATGTCTTCAAAAGTGACAAACACAGATGTGTCAGGAGAAAAAGATATGAGGCCATAAATCTTAACTTGTTGGGAGTTAATTAAGGGATTCATCAATCATTACACAGCTCACCCCGTACATATACAGGCAAAATCCCATCAGCTGCCACAACCCACAGCAATCTACAGGTTAAAAACTCCCCAAGTCCCTCTGTTCTGACTATTTATAAATGACTTTGTATAATCTAGCATTAAGACCTGTAATTATAAAACAGCATTAAAACAGGCCTGCGTAGTTATGGATAATTATAGTTGGTACACTTTTTAAAGAAATAAAAAGCTTTTCCATTCAAACACAGGCTTTGCCTTTCTGACAGCTCCAAGTCCACAGGATGCAGAAAGACGATTTAAATTGTATGTCAAAATTTGGACCGTGCAAGACTTTCTTTTTTTTCCCCTTTATCAAGAGAGGCATTGTTGTTTTCTCACCATAACTCGGCGCGACAGCGCCTGACTGGAGTCGCACAGCCGGTTTCTGAAACGGCACGACAATGTCCACCTCCTGAGTTTCTCTGGCAGCTACAGACCAAGTCCTTCTCACGGGCAGAGTTTAAATCACCCGCCCTGTGCGCCGGAGACAGGCACGGAGCCGCGTTCCGAAGAGACGCACCAGGAGAAGAGGAGCAGGTCTGGCCTCCAGCAGCAGTGCGGGGGGACGTTCCAGCTACCAGCGGCATCAGGCATTTACCCCCCAACCCGGCCCCATTCCAAACCAGGTGCTATACGCTAAACCGGTCCCAGCAACTTCCATGGGATCCCGTCTGACCCCCCTCCTGATCTGCAGGGGTACGTCCCGCTAATTAAAGTACGTGCTGCAAATCTGCTTTTCCACAGGAAATACTGGCGACCACAGACAGCAGCAGCATTACACATACGTACAGCTAATGCGGAAGCATACGCGCAGACACGCGCACGAAGGTACAGGCGCACGAAGGTACAGGCGCACGAAGGTACAGGCGCACGAAGGCACGCTTATCCAAAACGTCACCCCTTGCCGTGTGTAGCGCTAATACAGGGGTCCGTGTTCCCAGCTTCACCGAAGCGGCGATCGCTCTACAGACAGTCCCAAGCAAAAGGCGCTCGTTAATGCTAACGACCGCCTCCCTTTCGTGTCGGCCCGAAGTTCATCTCTTACTTCTGTGCAGTGAATGCCTAGTACCTTCAAATACAGAACTCTTCATTTTGACAGGACTACTTGTGCAATAATGTAACTTGTGTAATGTGTAACTCAACATGAGTAAGGGTGGCAGACTCCCACACTCTGTCCCACTGGGAACTGCAAGCCCGACTTGTTTCTACACATACCACTAAAAACAGACTTCACTTGGCAATATCTTTTGAGTCATTTACAGCCTGCTTTGGAATGGCTTACTGAAAGTAATTTTACAATTAAAAAAAAAGAAGCAACCATCTCTCGTCTGCTAATCAATAAAAAACGTGCATGAAACGTGCTCTCATCTGTCACTCACACCGAGATGGAATAATCTGTTAATTATTACTTTCTAAGATCATATCAATCAGGCATCTTTTAAAATGCACACATGCTACAAATAAGCTGTGTTATTCAAAAAGGGTTTTGGTGAACAAGTCGCTTTTTTTAATACAAACCAAGCTCACTATGGCATAACCTGTGTAACATTTCTGTGCAGCTGTCTGTTATTATAGCTGCCAGGAATAATCCTATGGTTAAGGCCAGCCAAGAATTTCCATTTCACCCAACTGACTTTCTGCCTTTTGCTTTCCAGATTTCCCCCCCCATGGGGTAATTTTAACAATTTTTTTTAGTCCACCAGTTTAGAAGATTCTGAATATCCAATGGGCAGGGAATATGCTATTCCCTACCTATTTTAAAGGTCGCAATTTGAAGTATAGTACAGTAAAGTATCAGCAGCTTGGCTGATAAAGCTCATATTCCACATGTTGTGAAAACTTTTTTGAGAAAAGGTACTGCTCAAATTTCCAGTGGTAAATCGTTTCATTTTGACAAGTATTTCTCAAATAAGAAAGTTGTTACAAGTGTCTTTCAATGAAAGGTTAACAAAAATCTTGTAAATTCTTTTGGTTTTTTTAAATCAGAAAAATAAAATAAAAACCAACAACTTTCTATAAAATCTGTGCTCTCAACTAAAAATGTATCATCTCCATTTTCTTGCATTTGCAAGGAATTTAGGCATCATGAAAACACACTGCAAAATCAAGTTTAGGAAAAAATACATTGTGAAAAAAAGTTCATGTTGAGTGTTGCCAATGTGCGTTACGCAGAGATTTCATTGACCTTTTGAAGCAGGTAACTGGGAAAGATTCTTTGTGCATGACTAAGTTGTTTAGTGAAATACTCTAGCCTGAAACAAACCAACCTTCAACCAAAACAGAATTTGTAAGGTGATGAAGGAAATCCTACCAAGATACTATATTCTACTATTGCAAAGCGTATTACCCAATTCTTTTGTAGATCTCATACAGGACTTTGCATTATTGTCCCCGTTTTGTACAGGAATTAGTAGGCGGCAAGCAGGAACGTGCAGTGATTTACCCAGAGACACACATTCAGAATCAGCTCTAGCATGAGAAACTGCATCCTATTTTTTTTAGTACCTGTCAACTTCATAAGCCTTTGTTTTTCACTAGCCTGTATGTCAACTAAAAGAGCCAAACATCTAATAGTATGTTTAAAAACCAGGAACTACAGGATCAGATTTTACTTCTGCTGCAAAGTATGTTTCTAAAAGATCAAACTTCAAAACCTGGATTTTCTGCGAACTTCTCAAAACCAGAAGAGACAGGTAGTGAAAATGCAGTTATGGTACAGGCAACATACAACCCCAACGTGCAGTGCCAAAGCCGATGAGCATCTATCAGCACAAACTCTGAAACAGCAGGATGCAGTCATTGTTGATGTTTCAAGTAAACTGAGCCTGATCACTGGCTTCTTTCATGCAAAAGACTCTGCTTGGATGATTTTGAATTAAATCCACAAGCTCATTTATTTTCCAGTGCATCCTCAAATTAACTCTGGCTTCCTTTCCCCCCACCCCCAACCTTTCAGACATGTACCTCCCCCCACTCTTCAGCTTCTCATACATCTTGCTTTTTTACTTTTTATTATTATTCTGATTATTATTATCTTACATTTGTCCTCATGTCGCAGTAGAAATAGCAGGTTTGGTTTTATTTTCACGTAAAGTTTTAGGAACTGCTTACTGCTGAAAGTACTAGAGCAATCACTGTGACATTAGGTAATCATAGCTCTTCTGCCTGCTG